GGAAGATGATCTGACCCCGTCACCGTAGTTTTTTTTTAGGACATGTAAATCCGAACCCAAAACATAATACAACTGGATGCCATTGGCTGCCTGACACTAATCGTCCGCTCTTCCAGGCTTCTTAACAAGATCTCACACAAGCGGTTCAAACCGGCCGCGAGAAGGCTGAGCTCCTCACCTAGGCTAAGTTTATATTAGGCCGGGATGTTGTGGACAGCAGTCCGTTCATCCTCCTAAAATCGATTTCTATAGCTTATGAATATATGACCATTCGCTTAAGGGGTGGGCTAAAATTTGTTAGGTTAGGTTAGGTACGTTATAAGTTAGTCCATAAGTTATATTTTAATAAACTATAGCAACAGTGAGCGAAATTTGTGCGAAACACTGCTGTTGGTTATACTTGAAACAAAACAAATGAAAAAAGTGCCGACATTAGGGATGGGAGTGGCCACTATTGTAGGTGAGAATTTGAGAAAGTAGGATACATAAGGTTATTTCATTCATATCTGTAAGCAACGATAAACCATTGATTGGCGAAAGATGATTCCGAGCGCAGTTCGGTAGTACAAAATTTAAAGTGCGGCGACTTTCTTGGAAAAAAAAAAGAGCCGTACGATGATTTTGGAAATTTTACCACGTCTAGGTTAGTCCGATAAAGGTATTATTATCAAGTTTCAAGTCTCTACGTGTATTTATAACCGAATTACAGCAAAAAAACTACTAAAAATTAAAATTCCTCGGCAATAAAAAAAAATGTCTAGTGATTTTTCGATTAAATCATTTTTTCTGGTATAAAACGTGTTTTTATAAAATACTGAAATCGTGAAACTGTATGTTTTCCAACGTTTTTTTCCCACTGAGTGTTTTTATTTAAAAAATAACGATGATACTGAAGTACCATCTAGACAATTTAAGCTTTCAGAAAACTTGTTACAAATAAAAAAACGGAACAAGTTTATTACGGAAAAACGTGTCCACAGACTAGGAAAAGGAGAAAACAAATATAATACACATTCTAATAAAACAAACAGCTCGTTCGCTACTCTAAGGTATCTAAAAAAAAAATGTTCTCGATGGAATTTCTTTCCATTTCAATATTTGTATATTGTTCGCATATTGGATTGTTAAAACGTACGTACGTTATTCTGTGGACAACGGAAAAGAACATTTTAACGACGACGGTTATCGGCCGTCGTTACTACGGCGCGAATTTCGACGCGTTGGCAATGCGTTAAAAAAAAAAAAACTCAATAAAAATAATAATAATAATAATGATAATGTTATCGGTTCGCCGGGGATCCGCGGAGAATATCGAATGCGTATTACGCGATCGAATTCGCCCGCGAAAACGACGCCGAAAACCGCCGTCGCGAATCCGTTCGTCGAGAGCGGTTCGACAAAAACACGCTGCGAAAATATAATGCAACGAACTTCGATGCATAACGAACCCGTTTGTCATTTATTAAACATTACTTTTTCATACGGTACAAACGAATATCGCGGGCATACTTCGGCCCGTCGAGTCGTCGAAAGGTCCCGCCGTCGCCGATTCGTTTCTCCCCGCGGTGAAATATTTCGATTTTTTTTTTTTTTTTTTTTAAACTTTTAAAACGTCATCGTTCGCCTATCCGTCCGGTGGCGCTATAAATCGCATATGAATTGGTAATCTCGTTTCCCCTATTCCGCCCTTCACTCGAAAAAACTATTTTAACGCGAAATATCATTGTACACTGCATTGCGTGTCTGGTACGCACGTATACACACAACAATACCTATACTCGCATGTTTCGACAAAACGAAAAAGAAGCCCACGCTGCTGATGGGTGTGTTTTTAGAATTGAGAATCGGAACGCATATAGTCGTTTAATAGACAGTTAAGTAGATGATCGTTTTTGATTTGTGTCTGTACGCGACGATAGACAATTTCAACCGGAAAACGATTCTGAGATGAGCGGGCGTTATCAGTAGTATTTTTTTCACTTGTTGCCAATGGTAACCCAGCAGAAATTGACCGCGGAAACGTGAACAAACGATTGTCGGTTTCCTCCATTTATTTAGAAAACTATAGGCAAGGATAATCGACCGAAAAATAACCGAGGAGTTCACACCAACGAGACCGAAAGTTCTGCAAGAAATCCTTATAAAGTTTTTAATTGGAATGAGATTTCCTTAAAACGCGAACATTCGATATCAATATTGATCAATTACGCAAATCGATATATATATACCGCAGTGGGCCTTTCATAATCTGTTTAAAATGTGTACCTAAAGTAATTGTTTTCTTTTTTCTTAACGCCATCAATTTATCAATAAGTTTGACCGGAATAATTAACAAAATAATAATTAGGCACGGTACCTAATTAAAAAATAAAAACAAACTTCGCTAAAATAATTTTTAATTATAAAAAAAAAAAAAAAAAAAAAAAAAAACACGTAGTTATAACTTGTTTACGTTGAAATGCGATATTGCATTTTTAACTTAATTTCCCGCCCTTAAAAGATTAAACAAGTAATAGGCCGAGTACATTTTAATTTAAATAATAAAGCGAATTCGCCTGAAAATTGCATAAAAAAAAAAAAAAAAAAAACTTGGTTCCGGAACACTTTGTTAATACTATGGTGAATTAAATTTAACAAAATAATAATAATAATAATTCAAATACAAATTTATCCCGTTTGTAATAAATACGATTCGTTGAAATACCGTTTTATTTTTTATAAACAATATTATTTATAATTCAACAATTGTTACGTTTGGAATATATTTATCCGACAAACCGACAATTCCACAGAAGAATCAAATTAAATTGGCTATTTATTGTGGAACCAAAACAGAAAAAAAAACAAACAATTTCAAATTTAATTTTGAAATTCAAAAAATCAGATACATTTCAATTTATTATTATAATTGTTATCATTGTATTATTACCGAGGTTCGGCCAACTTAATACACTTGAAAAAACGTTTAAAAAAATCCATTTAAAGTACTCATTATAAGCACTGAAATAAACAAAAAAAACGGACGTACCTTGCACGATGCGTGGGTGACTGTTGTCAGTGAGAATTTAGTAGGGTAGAGGGAAAATGTAATGTTTATCTGTACGCAACGATTAATCATTGTTGGGTCATCAAAAACAATTCTGAGCAGAATTCGGTTAAACATGTTTTAAAAGGCCGTAACATTTACGATTTGAAAATAATAATCGTACATTTTCCCGTTTTTCTTGATTTTCCTATTTATTATGAAAACCCATAGAAAAATCAGAAAATGGCCTTCTTAAAGTACCATTCCAGTCATATTTTCTTTCAGAAAAAGTGCAACACTTGAAGACCTGAGCAAATCTTTTGGTAGAAAAGTTGTTCAAAGAAAAAAAAAAAATAATAAAAGAAATCATCATTGTAAATCCAATACATTCTTTGCTACGCTTAGAATCTAAAAATTATCAAAAAAATTCAATTTCTAAAACTTTACCTTTGTATTTAACTTGAGAAATAAAATTTTCTAATGATACAATCGTACAATGAATCGTAATCGTTAAACGCTGTTAGTGTAATCGAATTTAGGATAACTGTCATTGGATTGTTTAAACAATTAAAAAATACGGATTCGAAGTAAATCAAATAACAAAAACAAACAAATACCACTAATCTGTGTATTATCCAACACAGACTTTAGTAATAGTATACAAAACCAACATTTTTTTTTTTTCTCTTTACCATAAAGGGTTTTTGTCAGTAATTATACTGCTTACGTAATTACAGTATAGGGGACAGCAATTTACTTGAAATAATTATTTATGTTATTGCAGAGTAATATACATTTTTTTATAGCACCCTCTGCTCGATTCAATATCGAACCAGTATTGTAAGCAAATTCTTCAAGTCCCGAAACCGTACGTGGTTATTGTCAACGGTAATTCGGATTATTTGTAAATCGAGAGCTGCAGATATTCAACGACCTCCAGAAAAGTGTTTTACTATACGCAACTTGTATTTAATGAGCATTGTTGGATCTGTCGCCGGGCCTTATAGTACGTCGATTTGCCAATCGTCCAATTAAAATGCTGAAATCCAGGCGCTCCACATGTGAAGAAGCCGCGGAAAATGGCGATTCACTGGTTAAATAGAAATAGATACGACTAGAGTCCGAGGCCAAAGACCCATCACTAATGACCGAATATCCAACTTTACCGTTGGATAACACCGGGTTTCAACTTGCAACGTGCCCCTTGGATCATCCTTAACCCAGTCGGAGGAGAGACAACGCAATTGCCTGTTGCCCGAATTGGGAACGGTAGAATCTCCTTCGTTTAGTCGTGACCAAAAGCGACCCATCAGACGCATGGCTCGCCTCGTGACAAAGTCGACTGGAGTTATCGATAAGATCCACGCGGTCGGCGCGGGCGTTATCGAATGGAAACTTAGACGTGCGCCCGTGAACGGTCTCGCGCCGGACAATATTATAAGGGGATCGCGAGTTACAAAATTAAATTTTTAATTGTTATTACGTTGCTTTATTATTATTATGTTTACACTCAATTATCTTCTCGTGTCTATTAACGCTTTATGAATTCGAGACGTTATTCCGGAAACAGAAATCGAAAAATCATTCCGGTCGGCTCGCGTCCGGTTCACGTTTCGAATCCGTCCGTTCCGTTCTCCGCACACTCGTACATGTTACCCGTACGCATATCGTACATATTTATATACGTTCCCAAACAGTTCCCCGTCGTCCTCGCGCCTCCCTCGAAACGCGACGCGCATTTGTACACCGTACGCAATACGAAACGCGTCACCTGTATGTTACGGCGGACAGGACCGTGGAGTTTTCACATTTTCTCCGGCCCGGCACTGCGCGCTACACGTCGTAATATAATTTTATTTCGAGCCGGTGGAATTCGCCGCCGTGTACGTCCGCAATGTTTTTCTTCCGCCGTCCTTTCCCCGCGTCCGGTTTCGTTTTTCGCGCGTTCTCGGAACTCGCGTTTCCCCCAGCCCCGCTATTCGTCGGTCGCCGGTGTCCGCCGGTTGTCCGCCCCACTCGCGCCGACAAACCCGGGCGATAAAAACGGCCTCGCGTTCCGACCAGCGCCCGCGCGGTCCGGCGCGTATGTTGTCGTCGTGAACGCGAATTCCCCGTGCCCCGGACGACCGCGGACCCCGGGGTCCGGTACGGCGCGGGGCGGAATTCGCGGGGCGACCCTGGATTTCAGACCGGCGGGCGGCCGTGCAGCGGCGACGACGACGGCCCGCAACGTCAGACGGGCGTACGGGAATATCCGCGGACATAAATGTACGCGTGCGCGGGCGCCGGGCGCGGGTGTACGCTGCTCGAAACGGCCGTTCTCGGCGAGCCGCCCGCGCGAATTTCGCGGATCAACGCCTCGCGCCGTCGGAACGTTTCGCGGCCGCATTTCGGATTTCCCGACGACGTTATTCTCCGCGCCCCTTACGCCCCGGGCGATAACAACGCGCGCGTACGCGCACACCGCGTCCTAGTTCGGTCCGGCTCGCGGTACAATATCCGCTACGCACGGGCGTTACCTGCTGCGGGCCAGTGTGCCCGCCGGACCGTCCATTTCATACGGCGGCGTCGGTTTCCGGGAGGTTTTGTCGCGCGCGCACCGCGCCGAACCGCGGTCCACAGACACGATACGCGTTTGCCGGGCAACGTACAGACGTATACGTGTTATTACATCGCGTACCGACAACGAGGACTAACGGTATAGTATGATAACCTTCCGGAGCTATTTGTTTTGTTCGAAAAAAAAAAAAAAAAAAAAAAAAAAACGTATAAAATCCGAAAACGTAAATACTCCCGGAGACAACGAGTGTCACATCGGAAATCGATTAAAACGTAAATACTATAGAATAGAAAAAAAAAAAGAAAAAAATCGCTTACATCGGCTACGGGACCGTGTTGCTCGTCCATAGCGAAAACGCGGGTGGGGCGGGTACACGTTTAAACGTCTCGTAGTGCGCTGTGTGCGCAGTAGTGCACGCGGAAATAGCCGCCGCTAATGTGTACCATTATACGCCGGACGCGTATTTGCAGACCCTGTGTCCGAGTCCGTTGCCGAGGCGTCACCCAGCAGGCGTTTGGGGACAAAACGTTTGACCACACAGGAACGGGCCGGTTCCCGTTCTTGGATCTCCAGTTCCGTCGGTTCTAAAGGAATCGGTAATTATCGGTCACACTGTTAGCACTGTAGTTGACGGTTTGTTTCTTAGACTCAATATCGGTGATCATAAAATTACGCGTCACTGATCGCTGACAATCAATTGAGCGATATGTTTTCGTATGAATAATACGTGACGTTAATAGTTCTCTTTTTTTTTTTTTTAATGTCAGTTTTCACGTCTCTAACATTTGTATTTTCGTTCGTGTCCTTAGAATTTTAAGTGGCTAAATAAAATCCCATACTGTATACACGAGTCGTTCTTTTAATATTCCCATTTCAAAAAGAAGAATCGGTATCGAGAACCGAAAACAGAATTTTCGGAACCGGAGCAGAGCCGGTACCGATATTTTTCAGGAGTCGGGCCATATTTTAACCTACAATCGTTCGTCTAAAACAGGTATACTGCTCCGTAGAAGTTAGTTTACCAAGTTAGTTTCTATCTAAAGCGTATACCCATATGGTCCCTGAATAGCCTCCACGCGTTGAGATAAATCTTGAGGGGAAGTGTAAAACATTAACCTACCTGTTGGTTCAAACGTGATAGTTTTCGACTGGAACGCGGTTTCATAAGTGTAAACCTAAAATCTATAGGAAACAACGGTGGACGAAAACCCACGACGGATTGCGTATTTACATACCGCTCGGGCCGAACTCGGATAGGGTCTGTAAATACGCATACCGGACCGCGTTTTACGAGGCACGGGATGTGCCTGTATAGGAGTTATACCCTGCGTGTTATTAACGTGTGCGCGTTAAAAAATGTACGATATGCGTGCGCTTAAAAGGTATCGTTGAAAATTACGTATTAATTATAGCGAATTTTCAATGAATGCTAATAGTAGATACTAAATAAAAAGTTCAAATGTTCCAAAAAAAAAAAAAAAAAAAAAAAAAAAAAAAAAAAAAAAAAAACGGGAAACCGAATTCGCGACACTGTTATATATAATATTTTCGACCGCGTATCCGATTTGCTAATCGGTGTGTATGTTCAAAACGCGCCAGTCTGAATTTAACCAGGAATGTAATTAACGAGTTTTCGTGCGAATGGATTTTGATACTGCGTAGCCGTTTTTAACCCGTGTCGAAAAATCGCACGATTCGTATAAACAATCTCGCGAAACTCGCGTAATTCAACAAGTATCGGCCATGAAAACCGTATCTCCTCGGTTTTCTTTTTCCGAAGAATGCGATTTTCGCGGAGCACTACGTCTCGATTTCAGCCGAACACGCGTTGTGTGTGGACCAGTTGCGTTCACAACGAAATATTTCCGGGGCCGGCGGGAGGGGTTGAACCCCTAAAACCCCTCCCTTCCGCACGCGCCTGTTTAGAACGGCGTAACTTGTAATGTCGAAAATCCTCCGGGCCGTCGAATCCGTCGCATATTACAGCGGGTCCATCGCTATGTACGGCGCACGGCAGCTGCACCGGGAAACTGCCGGAATTCGTACGCGTTTGCGAGTATTATTATAATAACGTTAAAACATTATAATGAGTGCGTCCACTTGTTTCGTTCCGGTCGCCGTGTTGCCGCTCTACGCACGCACACACCGTACGGCCGTCTGTTTACCCACAGTCGTCGTCGTGTCCGCATCGATCGTAAAATTACCTATTTACAAAGGAAACTTCTATGTAAGGTAACTTATAATATTGTCGAAAAAAAAAAAAAAAAAAAAAAAAGCGAAAAAACGAAACCCGCAACGGCACAATATATTATACATACAGACGTAACGTGTATCTATACAAGTTCGGTGTAAAGTTCAAAGTAAATATTATATCTTTTATTATGTAGGCGGCAGCCCGCGGCGCGTTATTAAATATTGACGACATTATTGTGTACACACGACATTTTTTTTTTCTTATTTTTTTTTTTTTTTTTTTTTTTTTTTTTTTAACACTAACCGTTTGTGTTTACTATTTTTTAAGTAACCGTTCCGGTAAACGATTGATATACTACTCGTGTATGCCGTGTACACGAGTACGCTATTTTGGCGCACTATATTATATTCGTTTGGTTTTTAGATTCTACAAGAGGAATGCATTGTAGGTTTTACAACGATGTTTATTATTATTATTTTTTTTCCATACTGTGCACGAAATTTCTCCTAGAAATCTTGCACCGATTCAAACACGACACGAGGCCTTTTATTTGCGTTTCGGTTCTAGTCGGTACTTTATAGAAAGGTTATTTTTTTGAAATTCTCATTAATATTCGAGACAATGAGGAAAAACCGGGTGTTTAGGTTAAAAAATATTAAAAAAAAGATTGTCATCGATTTTATTCATATTTTGTTATTATAAAATTGTTATCATTTTAGTCGTTTAATTTTGATCTTTTTTAAACAATCGTTGTTGTCAAGAAAACTCGCATTGTTAAAAGCAATACTATTGATCGAGCTCCGCTCAGAATCGTATTTCATAAGCAACGGGTAATTGTTGCGCACGGATATAAATTAAATTCTCCTCTATATAGCCTACCTTTGCAACTTCTCGTCCACAACAATGGATCACACGTGACGTGAAACGTGTCCGTCCGTTTTTTTTTCTTTTGTTCGTTTAAACGTCGAACGATCGCTTGGCATTTTCATAGAAACGAAATATTATGCCCACGGTTTTGAGGCAGGCGTTAAAAACGATATAATTAACGGCGGGATATTATCGTAACTTTCGGTAACATATTTAAACGCATAATTGTTTGGTATTAAGCTTTGTCGCTTTAATATTTTACACGTATTATATCACTCAATGTTTGAAATGGGGAGAAGTTAGGCGCGGAAAAACGGGGTACCTCTTCATTAAAAAAAAAATTGTACGCATATATTTTAGTTTAATCTTTCCGATTTTGCATAATGGACTCTCATTACGAACCGTAATGCGCATTAATTACACCGTTAACGTGTTGCAACTCGAAAAACTTGCATGTTTACGAGGATATAACGTTTTCACGCATTTCTAAAATGTACCGGCAGCAAACCGAAAACAATTTTACCTATAATCGCCTTTGACATTTTGGATTTATGTCGTTTTAAAATGAAATTAAATGCATGTATTTAATTAAGTATTTCGCGGCTAAATTTACTTTGTATTGATTTAAAAATACGCTATACTTATATACGTCATTAGTTTCTAGATGTATAAAGCCTGGTCGTTGTAACCAAATTTCTCTGACACGCGCCGTATGATTGGGGGGCGCGCGTAAGAATTGAAACTCTCATGTGTTGGAGGTCACTAAAACAGGATTGTCCGGGTGCTCCGTAGACCCGTACGAAGCGACTATTATATTGCAGCAGACTAAATCGCTAACTATATTTAAATTAATTGAAACGCACTATAGTGTATTATTTTGAGATACTATACACGATACACGATTGCGTTTACAATAACCTATAATATTTGTCTTGCTACGGTAATATTGATGCGTTCAACTCATTTAATTTTGTAGTCACGGGCAAGCGCATGACGTAAATAAAAAAAACTGTATTTTTAGCAAATATGTTGTATGAGCAGTCGCGTGCCCAGGAATTTCAAATGGGAGGGGATGTAGCAAAGAGGAATCATGAATAAATCATAAATTTGTTTTCTCTATCCAAATTGAATGCGGGAATAGGTAATTCAAAAGCCGGAGGTCGAATTCTAATCAATATGTCAAGTTTTTCCTCGTAACTTGACTGAAATACATGCATTTCGACATTAGATTATTCATATTTGTTTGTATTTTAAGCCGATGGGGTGGGAAAATAACCCCTAGCCTTCCCCCCTGAGCATGCCGCTGTGTTTGTGAAGTGTTTTATACCGCGAAATGGCGTTTCGATAATAATGTTACTGTATACAGATCCATTTTGTAAAAAGTGCTTTCGGTCGGATAACGTTAAAGGTAAAAGATTGGGCGCACTGATGTTAAAAATGATCGTGTATGGTCTTTGCGGCAGCAGAGAAATTTCGTTCCACTAAACGGTTTTCAAAAACGGACCGTCACCGTCCGTCTTCTGCGCGCGTTTTTCATATTTTAAACATTCCGCCAGGCGCGCATTTCGTTTACACTTTTGCATCTTATTGTTTCGAATTTGTTTCCGATTCGTTCACCGCGCGTGTACATGCCTGCCCGTTGCGCGTGTGTTCGTTTAGTTTACTGAGAGTAATAATAATAATAATAATAGGTAACATTATAATATTATTATAATGAGTGACGATGTTACTTTTCTCCATACGTTACAGTGTACATGTGCGTTCGCGTTATAATGTATACACGCGGTTTGTTCCGCGAGGCGTAAACATATACGTAGAATAATAATTATTATTACTCGCGTGTACGGTGTGTATAATTATTAAAACAAAAAAAAAAAAAAAATCCTCAATAACGATTTCGTAAATCAATACGCGGGTTTTTTGGACGTGAAAAAAAAAAAATTTCGCCGACGGTATCGGGGAAAAAAACAGTTCGCTATTATAATACATAATATATTATAATTTACTATTATAATACAGTGAAAGAATACCGAGCGCGAGTGTGTACAGCATAGGCGCCGGTATTGTAAAAATCGTAATATTGTTGCCAAAAAAAAAAAAAAAAAAAAAATAATAATAACAATAATAATAATAAAACAACGGGCGACCGCGTCATCGCCTACAGGGACTGCTGCAGTGTACGTCGTGTTCGGAGCGGTGAATCGCCGACACGGTCCGACTCGACGAGCGGATATGATGTTAAAACATAACTTACGGCGAAAACGGCATCCCGTATTTTGTTATATGGAAAAAATTAAAAAAAATCAATTATAATAGTATACATAGGTAACAATATCACAATAGTCGCTGTTTCGACTTTGATACGATAGGTGACCTCGCAACTCACGCGTATACCCGCGGTATACGGATTCGTATATTTTAATATAGCCGACAATAACGATACTATTATATTATACGCGCGGTCGTTCAAATGTCCGGTTCGGTATACTATATTTTCACAAAGCGGAGAATTTTATGATTGTTGGTTTTCGAAATTTTGAATGTATACACGAGTAGTAATGTAGCTCCGAAGCTATAACAGTGCCGATAATAGTTTTACTGCGGAACGTGTTTTTCGTTTTCGTTTCTCGGAAAACGCTTTTTCGGTCATTCAAAATTCGCCAGGTTATTCACGCCGGACCATCAAAAAAAAATATGTATTTTCAAACCATATAAATCTTTCAAACGGTAAATTTGCTGGACACATTTAGCGGCTCACTATATGAGGGGTGACAGTAGCGAGATAAATTAAATCTACGGGAATACTGGTGGAATAAGGACCCGCACTTAAACACTATTGAGTAAACGCGAAGAACGGTGGGGGAGATAATGAAGTCCATAAGGGTTTCGGTGTCGCGGCAAGTGGAACAGGGTGTGGGTCCCGGCGGAGTAGTCGAGTACCCGAAAAGAGACGGTTGACAACAGACCTAGAGCGTCGATGGCACCGTGTTAAGAACCGAAGAAACAAATGAAAAACATCAGCATTAACACGGCGAGAACGAACGCAAGGTAGGTCAAGGTACGATTAGGTTTTGAGGAGGCGAGCAGATCCAATTTTATTGTAAGCTCCGTAAATTTAACGTTGAGCGATTGACTGATCGATTTGCAGGAAGCCAAAGTAATGAGTATGCTCCTGCGAAATTTAATATTATATTCAAATACCACGCTCGTCGTATGTATGCGACAAAACGTTATAAAATATGATTTTCGATTTGGCACGATAATGCGTTTGACCTCAAATTGGTGATGAATAATTTATGCTTACAAAAAACTATCCACAAATTTTCGTTTTATAATCTTCTTGGATATTATCAGTTAACTAATCAACTTTTACAATAAAATGGTTTCAATTCATATTTCGGATACCTAGCGGTTCTAAACCATCATATTCTGGAAATTATAGATTAATTTCGTTTTTTAAGTTTTCGTAGAACGGCGTAAAACGTTGTGCTGGGCCTCGATAATTGTGAGGTCAGATGCTTCCGTCAATTGCTTTACGTTAATATATTTTGTATCTATCTATGATCGTGGATCATAGAACCCAGGTTTTTAACTGTTAAAAAATTGGCGATTTTTGTACAGTAAATTATTGCATTATTAAAAACTGTAAAACTAGATATTATCACTATTATGATAATCCTCAAATCCAAGACAGTATACCAAGGCATAGGTATACTGAATTTAAATTTTCGGCTTTAAATATTGATAACTTTGATATTGGACGTCGATTAGAAGAAATATGTGTCTACACTTCTACAGTATATCAATACAAATCGAATACAAAATACAAATTATAAGTTTTGAGTATCGGGATTGATAACAAAATGTTACAATTAGAATAGAACTTATTAAGTACCCATTGGGTTTTATCGCTGTTTATATAACATTATTTTTTCCTGTCACGGTTTACACACATAGACTTTTAGAACGGTTGTTTGTGCTATAGTTTACCCATATCGATTTTATTTTGATGTACGATTTTTTTTTCTGCAGAGAACATTGCATTTCCTATAATGGAGGAAATATGTGAAAAAAAAAAAGTGTAAGGATTCATTGAATTTTCATAATAAGTTTTAATATATGTTAGTGTTTTTTTATTTGTCTCTTTAAATTGAGAAAATCCGGGGAATGAAAAATGTAAAAGAAAAACAACATTCAGATTTATAGGTATTCCGCATTTTTTAATTATACTCCTAGTCCCTTAGCTCTTCTCGCCCCCACTTTTTTTCATATAACCTCAAATTCTTAAAATGCTCTAAAAAAAAAAAATAATATCAAAAAGTGTTTAAATTATATGTGTTATTCTCAAAATACATCATGCAACGAACTTGTAACGATAAAAGCAGCAAGATTTGGAAAACAATGCTAAGTGCATTGAACTCACGCAAGTGCGTGAGTTTACTCTTAAATACATGAAAAAATTTACATTGTACAAATAATTCGAACAAATTTGATTAAGAACAGTAAAAATGCAAATCAATTGTGTGGTGACCATGAAAGTGTATAATTTTTATTCCGATTCCGGTTCGTTTTCGTCCGATTCGGACGACAAATAGCACCGAGAACGGGAAAACGACGAATCGATGTCGGGTATAGTCAACGACGAATCGCCAGACATAGCCAACGGTGGTCCTACTTTGACCGATTTTTCGGAACTGCTACTGTCCGATAAATTATTGAAATCCGATCGAGACCGATGGATTATCGTAGTCTGGATAAACCTGCGTATAATAATAATATTTTAAATTACCAAGATACAGTTGGCTGTAACAAATAAACGAGTTTTCTAATATAATATCACGAACGCTTAGGCGGCTATATCCATATCGTACGCGAGAAACTTACTTTTTACCCAAGCCGCCCGGTTCGTCAACACACATCCAGTCATATGACACGCACGACCCATGTGGAGGGTGTGCTGCGATCGTTTCCGGACCTTTAATTCTGACAAACCTGTAACAATTTGGTAATATAAGAACTGCAAAGTCGACTAAATACTTTGTGAAAAAAAAAAAAAAAAAAAAACTATATTCGCAAGTACTGCACGACTACAATAATATTTATCGCAAACGGGGTACGCTGTGATAACGTACCTACCGCGAAAAACTCACTTTTTCCTTAGTCCGTCTTTAATGTCGTAACATAGCCATTCCGGTTTAGGCGCACGTAGCCATTTAACCAGATTTACGTTGTTTTCGCGTCGTCCACGTCCGCGTCCACGTCCGCGTCCACGACCGCGGACACGACCGGCGCGTCGATCGTTCCAACGGACCCACGGTCCTACGGTGCAACAATCCATTTCAGAACCGTATTCACGTTCGTGGTCTGAGGCCGACAATCCGTCCATGGCGGTTCAATTGTCGAAATTCAGTATATTAAGTTATAAAGGTATGAAGATGAGCGAATCACGCGAATGAACAATAATCAATTACAACCAGTGTAAACAAAGAATACGAATACAAATCACCGAGACAATGGAATGTCACTCGTATAATAGGTATTAAAAACTGTTTATTTTTTCGGCGACTCATAAATCAACAGACCAAACGATAATCTTTTTTATTATTACATTATAATAACATAACATGTCTATAGTTGTAATAACAACTCTCTTTGCCATTTTTTTTTTTTCTATTACCGGCTATATGTTTAAAGAAACAAAATCGATCTCTTGTCATTTTTGTATCGGAGCAATATTTCTAGTAGAAAACATAAAAACAATCGTAATCGGTAACGCCGCGGCGCGCCTTATACATTTGCCGTTTTACCTATGTGATTTTTCTTTCGGGTTTTCCCCAATTATTTCAAAATCCCACAGGAAAATTATATCACCTCTCTAGTGCACTAACTACACAAAATTTACTTTCTTTAAAGGTGTTATATTACACTCTATACACCGGAGTAAGATTTCTTTTTGAAAAGTTGTTTACAGAAAGGAACATAAAAAATAAAAAATAAAAACCGAACATCATAGTATAACCAATAAATACCTCATTACGATCTGAATCTAAACATTTATAAGAAAAATACACCGAAAATCTAACTGCGACATTCTTAAGCCGGTCCCTCTGCGAATAATCGTCAATCGTGATGCTGTAGGAGTTGTGTAGGTGGTGTTTAATCGTCAAGACGATTATTTTTACTCGTAGAGTCACTGTTTCCCGTTGTTGTCGGAACCAACACGGAAGACTCGTGCTAATAAGAAATTTAATCTTGGGTATTTTCCTCGAAAAAAACAATTATTCGTTTTTAATAACGTTATTTTGACAGTAATAGTAGGGAATAGTAGTCGCACATCATTCTCACACGAACCGTGCACTTGGCGATCGTGCACGTCTTGTCAATATATTTAATATAGTTTACAGTAGTTTAGTTACATAGTTAAAAATAAAAAACTAGTTAAATTAATAGTTAAAAACTATTTAAATAAACACTGATGACCGTTGTACGTATCTATTTGTGAGTTTTACTATCGTGATCGTGGAGGTTTCCACATGACTCGTCGTTGCTCACCGCTAACTGTTTTGAAAATTGGCGAAAATAAAGTAAAGTACAAATAAAGTATACACGGTGATCAGATAATGAGCGGCAATTTCATGATGTCACGAAGATCGGCCAATGTACGAGTCTTGTAGGAGCGACATGATCGTCAAATCAAAATACTCGACGGACATACGCGATTACGATGCTCGCCAAGTTCACGAGTCGTGTGGGACCGGCTTTACGCACCAATTAGACGAAATCGTATTAAAATCATATCGGCGACTGGGGCAAGGTCCAGACAACCCGGACCACCCCATCAATCCGCCATTACCGGTAAGTACCTATATTTTGCACTATTTATTTCATTTTTTTTTTTTTTTATTTATACTCCAAGGTTAAGACTAGGTAAACTGACCGAAAACTGCATAACAAATTCGAACAGTAAACATAAAAAACAATATCAACACATTCTACGCGCCGCGGGGCTATAGAATAATAATTATTGTTTTTCGAATGCAAATAATAGGCTGTATCGGGTCTCTTATAGGTTTAAATATTTTAAACAAATTCTATTCTCATAACTTTGTATCGGATATACACGTATATAAGATGTACGGTGACACGTGACAATCGGCACACGCATATCATTACTCCAATACCAAATGCCCGTTTCGGTCTCCTCTCGCCCATTGTCGCTTAATACGCGTGGACCTAATCTAATTGAGTCTAGTGTTCGAATTTTCAATCGATCGTATCACTAAAAGAAATTACGAAAATCGACCCGAACCATTCGACCCCAGCACCGAGGAATTTTTTATCCCATTTTTTATCGGATACTCACACACTCGGTACGATCTGTATAAGTCAGACAACCGGCGAATTTTCCCGCACCGAACTTCCCGAGAACACCGCCGGACTTCCGGTGAAACTATAATACGATATCGCGGGCCCGACGACGACTGTTTCGACGGGACATCCCCTCTCCCCTCTCCACCAACGGACAGTTTAGTCGCTTCGACGGCCGCCCATATAAAACGCGGTGTAGACGACTGACTACCTGGCAGTACTATAATCGTACGCCGGGTACGACTCGCGTTTCCATTATCCCGGGCACTATAATTATTAATATTATTATTATTGCATTGGCCGGTGGCGGCGAGATTGATAAATAATAACAATTTGCGGAAATAGAGACCGGGCCGTAAGTGGTGCCAGAGAGTGCATAGAGAGAGAGAGAGAGAGAGAGAGAGAGAGAGAGACGCCTGTTGACGGGAATATAATATTATTATTAGGTATTATAGGTGTGCGTACATATGAAAAATATTCGTGTGCGAGTGTAATCTCCGATTTAGGTCCGGACGTGTTATTATATACGAACTCGGTATTCCGGCGCGTAAATCGAAAAAATTAAAAAAACCGCCCGGAAACGTCACCGCCGACTACGCGGTAGGCCGAATAGAAGAAAAAAAACCAAATAAAATTACGGTGCAGTGCAATCGGACACGATGTGTAAACGAAACGCAGTGCACGCGTTATTGTTGTCGGTACCGGTGCGCCGACCGGTGTAATAATTATATCGCGTTACGAGGTTGGCGCCGAAAGAAGCCGCTGACAATAATTACATATTAAACTGTATAGATGTATACTTATACTATACTTAAGGGGGGTGCCAATATAATAACGAATCCGCCGAACGAAAAATCTAACCTTCGATTCCGTTTCCGTTTTTTCTCCTTTTTTTTTTCTATTCGCTTCACCAAAAAATAACGGCCGTCGAACATCACGCACGCCGCACAGCGATTTGTTTTTTCACACTGCGTGTGTGTAATCTGTACCGGGCGATCCATTTTAGTGGGTACGCAACATTCCTACGGTGAGCATTGACTTTTCCCGGAAATCGTTTTCTAGTACATTTGCGAAACAAGCAGCTCTACCATTTTATATTTATGTTATTTTCTGTCACTCTTATTTTCGGTGGTAAAACCGCCACACAAATGATACTCCACTACTCTCCTACGGCTCAAATTTAAAAACGGGACGTCTCGTCGACGGATATCAACGGTGTCAACACTAAAATTGATTTTAATTTATACTCCGTCTATTTATAGAATTTTTAAATTTCCATTTAGCAGCGGTTTTACCTCCGAAAATAAGGGCGACAAAAATTAACATAAATATGAAATTGTCGAGCAGCTCGTTTATAGAAAACGAATTTCGGAAAAAAAATCAACGCTTTTCCAGATAACGAGTGCGCCCACTTGAACGAATCGCCCGGCAGACAATATCCTTACCGTCGTTTGACAATACAGGCGAATCCGCCGTACAATGGCAACACCAACGGCGCGAAATGAACGAAAAATAATACGTAATTTCGCGAACCGGGGCGATTTCGCCGGTGCGGCGCGCGAGCGATCTAACCCGACCTAACCGATGGGGCCGACGGGGGCGATGCGGTCGAACCGGACGTCCTGTCGATCGCGACCGGACACCCGGCCCGAACGCGACGCGAAAAACGCACGGACGGGAACGCGAACAAGACGAATCGGCGGGCTCCGAGCGTACGGTGTACACGCTTTGGAGATTGCGCGATTTTAATAATAATAATTATCGCCGGAGCGTACGCCGGGGGACGGCCGATAAATAACGTCCAAAACGAATTATATACGCGCGTGCGTTATTATTATCGTTGTTGTTGCGAATAATTCTATTCGCGTGGGTGATGTGGTTAGGGGTGGGGGGGGAGGGCGAGCGTACGCCGCCGCCGCCGCCGCCGCCGCCGCGAGAATAAATTGTGATTTACGCGTCCGCCGAGACTGCACGCTCGAGATTGTTTTCCCGGGGCGTCCCGGCCCCGGGGCCGCGGTGCGCGGCGGCGTTCTCGGCGTTCTCCTCAGACGCGGCGTGCGTTCAGCGTATCGCCGGCCGTATTAGATACACCGCAACGATATTATTATGTACGCGAACGTCGCCGTCGTCCGCGCGTAGTCGCGGTAAACGATTGTTTTGAAATTTTTACGACAGTTCGTTCTCGCTCGTTCTCTCTCTCTCTATCTCTCTCTCTCTCTATCTCTCTCTCTATCTCTACCGTTCTCCGTCTCCACGCACGCTCGCCCCGGCCGTGAGTTATTTACATACCCACGTTCGGGCCCGGGCGCGTTATTAAATTTCGGTCCGTGAATAATCGCCGTCGCCCCGGTTTTTAATATACGCGCCCGGCACTACATAACGTACACTCGCACCCGCGTATCATTATTATTATTATTATTATTATTATTGCGATTGTTATTGCGCCCTCGCGCTCGCGCGCGTGCTGGCGCGTGCGGGACGCTCGGTCGCGTATCGCCCGCGCGCCGTCGGTGCGGACCGCGCGCGTCTTGTTGCGTCGCCGTGGTCGCGGATGCGATCGCGGCCCGGCGCCGGAGGAGTCGTGTTTTTCGACCGTGTAACATCGTAACGCGCGGTCACGATACCATTACGTCCGGCCTGGCTCCCACCTCCCCCCCCACCACTTCCGGCCACCCGCTCCCGCGTTCCGCCCAACCCCCACCGCCCGGTCTCGGTCGACCATCCGGATTTCAGACCGCGTCGTCTCGAAATAAGATTTTTTTTTTTTTCCAGAAGAACGATTTAAAAAGCGGTCCTAGGATAATGGGGACGGGCGCGGCCCGCACTGTCGCGAAGTCGGACGGGTCCTATGGATGCTGGAAGGAATTTAATTATGGATGTACTGGTTTACCCGTTTTTCCTTCGTTTTTTCCGTTTGTTGCAAAAACTTCTGGGAAGATCGAAAAATGACTTCCCAAAAGTATTTTCCCAGCTTTTCTATCAGAAAAAATGCTATAACTGTTAATCGGAGAATTTTTT